AAAGACAACTGTTTGTAAATCCAGACTGGATGAGTTCTGGACTTTGGTGGAGTATGATCCCATCAGTCCAGACCTGGGATGTTGCCTTTTGGACTTCTTCAGGCTGAACAGAAGGATTTTCCATTTAGGTGTTGCTTTCTTTCTTTCATAAATCCAGTGGTTCGACATGCATCATTCTGTGATTACTGGTAGGAATCCTGTCACAAAGATATATATATATCTGTGGTCCAACTGTCCTGGCCACCAACGTAGGATATGGGTACCATGACCCCTAAAATTCAACCTGAGTTGTGGAACCTCGGCTGTTTGGTCAGGGCTGGACCATCATACTTGTATTATATTCCACCCTTTTCAATTTTCTATTCTTCTGGGTGAAGAGCATACCTGTTCTGGATGTAGTGCGGTGTTCCCCACTTCAATACTACTTCTTGTGGTACATATTTGTTCTCTGCAGATGCTTTCTGCATGATCTTTGTCCTCACCGGCCCCTAAACCTTCTCAATATAGGATTCTAGCTAATAGTGTCAGCTGACACTCTTCCCCCCCCCCCTTCCTCCCTACTAAGAGCCAGTGTTAGTGACCGAAATGTGGTAAATCTTGAACAAATGATTTTATTGTCTACATACAGTGCTTATATACAGTACCTGCATAGAGGGCATGTGTGGGCTGGCGTAAAATTTTGTAAATTAGATATTGCCGAGGACAGTTAAGTGGAGTATATAAAGACTGGAGCAAGTGAACACAATGTTAGATGGCAAAGATGAAGATAGAGAAATAGCTATTAGTGTCAGTGAAAGTAAGTATGTTTGGAAATACATTTTCAGTTTAGGAAAATCATAACTTTTAGTGTGATATCTGCAACCCTGAGATTGTGAAATTATTTAAACAGGATAAATGTTTTCCTCATATTATTAACTAATGATCTAAACTGTCACTTGATTTATTTTTCAAAAATTTAAGATTTCTAGTTTGTTACCAAAATATTTTGTTTTGATTTTTTCCTTCGTAATTTTGCTTTTCCTACTGAAGTCACCAGATATAAATATTTTTTTTGTCAAAACTGATTTAGTGTAAAATGTGTGTAAATTGTATGATTATTTTATTACCTGTAAGCGAAAAAAAATCAAAACAAAATTTATTTATTTACTATTGATTGAAAAAATAAATATCTAATATCCAAACAATTTTAACTTCTTTTATAATCATTAACATATATATCTTAGTGATTTTGTTTTGTTAAATTTTATTACCCACTAAAGTTATTGTGTAACCCAGTCAGAAACCCACAATACCTGCACAATTAGTAATTAATTACTTACTTACTCTTGAACTTAATTTTCTAATGTACTATAAACCACCCTGTTCACAATTGCTAATTACTATTACATGACTTCTTAGAGTAGAAAAATATATATATGTAGCTTTCAGTAGAAAATAGCCCCATTTGTCTCAGCTGTAATTGTGAGGGCTTATAACACTACAGTTATCCCTTTGTGTAGATTTGTGCTTGACAACAAATAAGCAAGAAATACTATAACAAAAATCCACTGTTAGCAACAATAAAACAATTGACAGACAATATTTCAATATTCCCAAGTCTCTAACTACCTGGGAAGTATTTTTAAATTTGATGTGTTCAACCTTTTTATGTGTCATTCCTTGAGAACTTGTTTATGTTAAAATTTTCATTACAAATGAGTAGCAAGTTGTTCACCCCATGTTGAAGCTGATCTCCTCCCCTTTACAGTTCTTTTTAAAAGCTGATTGTTTCTTGGGACAACCAATCTTTCAAATCCACTTGCTCCAACCATTTTGTTTCTTTTATTTGAAGGCCAATTTTCATAACATCCATTAGGATGTTTTTTAATAAAGTTCTCAATTTTAATTTATTTAGATGTAACATCTAGTAATTCAATAAATACAATTTTTTTTAGAATTGTATGCCGTTGCAATATTCTAGTTTCAATATTGTAAAATCTAATAATTTGTTTTTTTAACTGGATGAAACAGATAAGGAACCACCATCCAGAGATAAATATAGATATATTCCTATAGTATTCATAAACAATTCTAGGATAACTTTTAAAAAGCAATGTTAGTGCTGAAAATAATGGCAGTATATAAATGTATGTACTTGGTTTATTCTTGTCATATTTGATAAAACTCGCATAATTAAGTAGGTGACATTCAATTGTATGTGATTTTCAGTTTAAAAGACAAAAAGCCCCTCAGTGGCTCAGTTGTAAGTCTGAAGTCTTACAATACTGATAATCGGGTTTTGATAACAACAACATGCAGAGCAAAAATAGCCTATTGTGTAGTCTTGTACTTAACAACAAACAAACAAATAAAAAACAAAAAGTTTATACTTTTTCTGGATTTGCCAGGGAGTTCTGATGGTGGGTCCACCAGGAACAGGAAAAACTATGTTAGCTAAAGCTGTAGCCACAGAATGTGGAACTACTTTCTTCAATGTTTCTTCTTCAACCTTGACTTCCAAATACAGAGGGGAATCAGAAAAGCTAGTACGTCTTCTGTTTGAAATGGTAAGCAGCTTTTTTACATGCATTTTTACTGAAAATATTATTAAAAAAATATAATTAATTATAAATAACTTCTGAAATGTTTTGATAGATATAAACTAGAATCATATACATAATGCTCTACTAATTTATATATTTATGAGCAAGAATTTGTGATTAGCTCTAAATAAAATGTAATAATTTCATTTAAGTTTTATAAAGAAAAATCTTTTTATTAGTGCATTTCTCCTGACGTAATTTTTTAGTATTTCCTTCTGCAAACTACCATTGCTGTGTCTTCAGTAAGAATGTTATCAAGCCATAATCTTGTATAACAGAAGGTGGTAATGGCAAGACAAACAGCACACGATCATAAAGTTGAAACAAGCTCTACACAGCTGCACTTCAAGACAGTAACGTGTGGAAATCTGATTAAGTGATGCCACATTTCATTCTCCCTATGAAATTGCTGACCAAAAAATAAAAAGTACTGGTTCAGCTTCTTAGAAATCTGTGTAGATTCATGAAGTTATTGCTAAATTAAATAATTTAAAAAAGAAAACCCAAACATTTGTAACTACTGTTGTTGTGAAATAGTGTTTATGACTTCTAAAACTTGTGGTGAGAGCCACTTTGAAACTTGTATGTATTTCAAACAATGTTATTTTGAAAAATATTGTCTACTTTTTAGTATCTTGAGACTGATATAAAACAGAGCAGAAAATAGTGGAAAAGCAAAATGGTATAAAAAAAGTTTAAAGTGCTGCTTATTGAATAAATATTTTTATACAGTCTTTAAGTGTGCACTAAGAATTTTCTAGGAGTTAAAACCTGTATAGTAAATAGTATGATATATAACTCATAATTTTTAATTCTGGGTAGCGAGTTGTGTCTAAGAATTTATCAGACTTGAAACATTTTTCTTGTGGACTTATAAATTTTTATTTTTTAAATATTTAGGCTCGTTTCTATGCTCCCAGCACAATCTTTGTTGATGAAATTGATTCACTGTGTTCCCGAAGAGGGACAGATTCTGAACACGAGGCAAGTCGACGAGTTAAGTCGGAGTTGCTCATTCAAATGGATGGTAAGACTAATGTACTTCAAAAGTCACATGCAAATAGCTTGCATATTTCTGTGTGTTTACGTTAAAGTCAAAACAGCTTGCATTGATGATTAGTAATATTCATATACATTTGAAAAAAAAATGTTCCTTCATTCCATTATTTTAAATTCATTAAATATTATCCTATTTATGTTTCAGATAACAGTGCTGTTTTCATTGTATTATAGACATTAGATATTGTGCTAGATTACTTAAGTTTTTCAAAATAAAAGTTTTCATGAATAATAACAAGTTTTTAAAAATAGAGCACATTTATTATGTATTGTAACCTTGTTCAACATTATTTACATGAAGGTGTGAAGCTTTCAGAACTGTGAGTATTTATATGTGACTTTATTTCCTTTAGTTTACTTATTATAGTTTTCAACTGTAATATTTTCTTAACCCCTACATTTGGTACTTTTTGGTTTTCTGGACAACATTAGTACCAAGGGGTTGGATTGCACCCCACCCAGAAAAAAATGGATAATAAATATGATTTATTATTATAACTAAAACGTTTGTAAGTTAAGTATCTTGTGACCGATTCCATAACATTTTGCTTAATTTTTAAAGTATTTGTAGTGCTATTAAAGAAATAATGAAATTATTACAAAAAAATCACTCATACTTTATTTAATAAACAAAAACATCATTACAAAAGTTAAGTAAATATGTAGTTTTTTAACTACAATCAATGAAAATGCCTAATCTTCTCACTTTCAGTATCACTGTCCAACCTTAATATAAAAAAAAAAACATAACTTGAAATTTCATAAAACAACTTTGCTGTGGCAGAACTTCCTTCATATTTGGTATAAATTAACTTTATAAACACCAATTGAATCATGAATAATAAAGATATAGACTTTCCCAGAAATGCATTTTGATTTAGTACCATCAGGTGTTTGCGTGCAGGAGCAAGAACAAAACACATGTTGTTCTCAGTCTGGATAAGGTAGAAATGGGAGGTACTAGGTGTGCACTCTATCAGGGATTTGGGGAAGGTACTGTGAACAACAACTGCCTCAATGCTACCATATCTTGGTGACAATATTAACAAACATACATGGGGTTCGAAAACACCCAATGTAACTAATGGAGGCTTAATGATGGTTGAAGTTGCCATCAACCGATTTTTAGGCTAAAGAGCTTTATTTTATATAAAACCTGTGGTTTTTGCTTACTATGATATATACTTTCATTATATATTTTATTTGTTCTCTTGTTGTACATTTCACATGATTTGTCAGCTGAACCATAGATCAAATTACTTTTTTTTATTATTATTTTGATTTTACTATTGCTATAAAAATGTATACTTGCATTGATTATATTTGTGTACAATGTCTCTATCAAATATTTTTTATAAATCTGCCTGAAAAGTGATTGTTGTTTATTTAAATATATTTATAACTCAGAATACGTAGTAGTGTATGATGAGAATTGTAAAAATTATTAGATTTTTATCAATAAATAATAAGTTTAATCATTCTGCAATACCTTCAGGCATCACCAACAATGAAGATCCAAGCAAGGTTGTAATGGTGCTAGCAGCAACTAACTTTCCATGGGACATTGATGAAGCATTGAGAAGACGGTTGGAAAAAAGGATCTACATTTCTCTTCCTAATTGTAAGTGTTCTTAATGACTGTACATATTTTATATATGTAGATTAATTTCTTTTACTCGGATGTAGTTTTACTTTTTCATAACATCAATATTTGATAAAATGTTAATTCTTTCCTGTTTGGCCATGCTGAAACACTGTTTGAGCAAGACATATTTCTGATGTTTAAATAATGTATATATCAGCATAATATAAAAGGAAGTGGGTATTTTTAATGCTCTCCTTGAGTTTTGAGTTTTCAAAAATTACAAAATTACCAAAACTTAAGTATTTATTTGTTATTAATTTTGAGGAAAATTAGTTAACTCCCTCAACACGGGCTCAGTCAATTTGACCATCCACATGACCTCTTTGTGCTCGTTTAAAGTCTTCATAGATTTAATACTTCTAACTTTCATTATAGTGTGTATATCTTAACTGAACTTGGCAGTCTTTCAGTTTAATGTTGTAGGTCTTTCACGTGTCTTTCACGTACAAAAAATCATGTTTTTTAGTGAAGTATTTTTAACAAAATAAAATAAAGATTTGTCCATTAACTCTTTTCAGCATGGGCTCAGTCCCTGGGACCGACCTCTTAACCATTGTATGCTTGTTATGGTTTTCATGCTATAACTTTTAAATCAGTAAGCGAATGTTAATGAAATTTGGCAGATTATCAGTAAACATTACAATGCTTTCATACACAAAATATCATTTTTTATTAAGTCGTAAGGCTTGTAAAGCAATGTTATTCTCATACCTTTTTTTCTTTTCACATGTTGCCTATCTATCATGCAAAGTAATATTCATTTTAAGATTAAAAATACTTTAATGCATCAGAAAATTTTCAAATTTCACATGAGAAATCTTTATAATGTCCAGATAGTTATCAAACATTTCTTAAGAAAAAACTGTTTTATCT